TGTGTGAGAGTGTGTGAGTGTGTGAGTGTGTGTGTGTGTGCATGCGTGTGTGTGTGTGTGTGTGTGTGCGCGCTGACGGCTTGTGTGGGAGTTGTTTCAGTACAGCCTACAAATGGCTGCTTTTCAGGTAAACAGATGAGCTCTTCAAATGCTTTAAGAAAAATGTTTTTCCCCACACATTTTGTTATAATAAAAACAAAATAATAAAACAAACAACAATAATAAAAAACAAAACAATAAAACGTTGTGTTATATTAAATAAATGTTTATATTAAATAGATGTTTATTTTTAGATGATTTATTTAGATTATAAATATAAATAATTTATTATGTATAGTTTGCCGTTTATATAGAATTATATTTATTATATAATACATATAGTTTTAATATATTATTATTATTATTATTATATTTTCCAATTGTTATTTTATATTTTTAATTTTCTGGGACAATAAAATCTGTACATAAAAGTCATAATAAAATTAACAAAAATAAATGAAGGCATGATAAAAAAAGTTTCCAGTACGATTTTTATGTGACCTTCATGTAACGAAATGGTTGAATATATATAATAATAATAATAATAATAATAATAAAAGTGGGACATAACATTGCGAAAAAACGCCCATAAAGGTCATGATGGTTCATGAGGATAATACAAAAAAATTAAAATTAAAATAGCATATATCCTCTCTATAGAAATTAGAAATAAATATTTCATACTCGTGTCTACATTTTGTGTTACAATCTTATGAGCCGCTGTTGTTATTGTGGCGCTCGGGATCACGTGATGCGAATGTGCGCACGTGTGAGTGACAGAGCCGCTCATGGAGAGAGAGAAGGGGAGGGAGGGGCGCACTGTCACACCCGGAAGCGAGTTTACCAATCTTACTATGGGGAAGACTAGGCTCTTTAATATTAAGTAGGTTGCTTGATTGGACGCTTTAAGAGCATTGTAAATGAATATTCATGAGCTAAGCCTTGGCCATAGTATGATGCGTAATTTCTCCACCCGCACATTGTTTTATCAGATACGAAGCGTATGCTACGTACTCTTTGTTCACCAAGGATTGTAGGGACAGAAATTACAGTGTTGTCAGTGAAAATGTTGTTTTAATTATTTTTACCAGCTGAAATGAACGTGTATTAGATATGGGCGAGAGAACACCGGAAATTCTTTATAATCGATGCTGGTCTTTAGTGCCTTTAACACAGAGGTAAGTACACTAAGCCAAAATACGGCAATATTTCTATCTTCGTAGTCAAGACTTTGGCTTAACTTTATGAACAGACAATTAATATATGTTTACCAGTTTACCATGTATACATAGTATTATACAAATAACCTACATATTTAAAGCAATATGTGTTAAACTAATTGATTGGGTACCCGATCATTTCACTGGTTTAATTATATATTTTTTAAACTTATATCGTTAATTTTTGTTAAAATATATTTTTTAGAGTGTTATGTATAAAGCTTTTGGCGTATATTAAAATAAATATGCATCTACAAATATATTTTATTGCACACATTTTACTAATATTTTATCCATAGGTCTATCTCATAGCAATTTAATATATTTTTTACAAAATATATATATTTGACATTTGCAGTACACACACGTCGTTTTGCAAGTTGGTTTATGATGAAGGTCTGGACTTTGTTCTAAAAATAAATGTTTTTTTTTCTTCTTTCAGTATCAGCCAAAAGTTTATTATATTCAGTTTTTTTTTTATTGTTTAATTACACTACATTTAATCTATCTATATGACATTTTCAAAATTATACAGAGTATGACTGGGCACATTTATAATGTGCGTTAGTTAACGTGCCTATTAATGGTTACGTGATTTAACCGATGTTACTCTCTGTCTTTAGACGCTCAGAAACCCGTGCCCTGGAAATGAACAGCCAATAAAATAGTTAATAGTTAATTCTGTAATAAACACCTAATAAAAGGACCGTATTTATGGTGCGCTGTGAAAGTTTGGTGAGGAGCTTCGTGACAACAGCGCCGCCAGGCAGGCATGAGCAGAGCCGATTCTGCAGAAAATGAGGATTGGACGTGAGCTACGTGCGCATCCAGGAGTAGACGACATGACATGGAGAGACTGGAAAACACGGACCTTTTAAAAACGCACGGACGCGAGAGTATCTGCTCCCCGCAAGAGAGAGTCGCCAATGGCTGTTGTGATGCTCACGCAGTGAATACAATGGTTCTGAACGCGACCACAGCAGAGGAGCTTACGCTTCTGAAGGAGTCCAAGAGCGGCTTGCCGTTGTATAACGGTGGAGGAGTGGTGTCCCCTTCACCTACAGCAGAAGAAAGTTATCGTGAGGTCCCTGCGCAGACGCAAAGCGGGTGTTTACATCTAAATGGACTGCTGGAGACCCCCAATGGGGGCCTCACAGCTAATGGGGACAGGACTTTGGACAGGCCTTTGAAGAAGCCTTGTGGAGATGTGCGATTCAGACAACTCCAGCATAGTTATCGTGAGGTCCCTGCGCAGACGCAAAGCGGGTGTTTACATCTAAATGGACTGGTGGAGACCCCCAATGGGGGCCTCACAGCTAATGGGGACAGGACTTTGGACAGGCCTTTGAAGAAACCTTGTGGAGATGTGCGATTCAGACAACTCCAGCATCAGAGGAGAAAAGATGAGGAAAACCGAGACTTTGGGGCCCATGGTGGTTGTCCCGCATCGGGGTCCGGATCTAGCGGCTCTTCGGAAACGTCCCACGGACCGGACCCTTCTTATTCTCCGCTTGAATTCAAAAGGAGAAGGCTTGAATTGGACTCCAAAACAGACTCTAGTAAAAGCACATGGGCTGTTGCGCCCCTCGCAGCAAATCACCAACACAAAAACTGTGGCGGCTCCGTGTCGTCGCCCGGTTGGGTCTATCACAATGGACACAAAGTTGCAGTGAACCTGGCCGAGGTGCACTCTGCTCCGCCTGCGGTGGCCACCAGTGCAGATTGGTCTCCTGAGCACATGGCTCAGCAGTACATAGTTCCTTGCATGAAGTTTTACGGCATTTGCGTCAAAGATGGCTTCCTGGGCGATCAACTGGGCAGTAAGGTTCTGGAGGAAGTGGAGACTCTAAATCACAGTGGGAAGTTCAGAGGCGGCCAGTTGGTCAGCCAAAAGAACATCCCCTCTAAGAACATCCGTGGAGACCAGATAGCCTGGGTCGAAGGCAACGAGCCGGGCTGCGAGAACATCGGGAGCCTCATGGCTCACATTGATCAGGCCATCATGCGCAGTGCGGCCAATGGACAGCTGGGGAATTATATCATAAACGGCCGCACCAAGGTGAGTGAGGTGGCATATCTGTGCTTAAAATTTAAACTCATGTCATTCCAAAACTATGACTGTCTTTCTTCTGTGGAACGTAAAAGAAGATATTTTGAAAAGCAATGGAAGTCCATGATGTAACCAAATTGTTTGGTTACAAACATGCTTCAGAATATTCAAAAAAAGTCTTGTAGCAGTATAAAGAAAATCATGCAGGTTTGAAATGATGTGAGGGTGAGTAAGTGATGACAAAATGTTCATTTTGGGTGGAATTTTTTTTTGTTACTTTGGAGCTGTATGGTAACACTGGGGATACTATAGATGTCACACTTTTACTGCAGTAAACATTTCTCAGGTTTTGTGAAAGTCAATATCTGTATAGGCACAAAAAATCTATTAAGCTATTTCAAATTTTAACCATTATTGCAGATGAAAATAAGATACAGTTTATTTACAAAACAAATATGGGAAGTTGTCAGCAAACAGCAGTTTAAAATTAACATCTAAATCTCTGTGACCTCTCATGCACCTTTGGAAAAACCTGAAAACATCCTTGTTAAAGGAAGTTCACTCAAAAATGATTTTGTTTTTTATTTGCTCACCCTCAATTTGTTCCAAACCTATATGAATTCCTTTCTATTGATATTTTGAAGAAAGTTGGTAGCCATTGACATCCATAGCATTTACAGTATTTTCATACTGTGGAAGTCAGTGGCTACCAGCGATTGTGAATACAAACATTCTTCAAATTTTTTTATTTTCTGTTCAACAGAAAAAAAAAGAAAGAAATGCATACAGGTTTGGAAAAACATGACAGTGAGTAAATGATAGAATTTTCATTTTTGAGTGAACTATCCATTTAACATCTAAAATCTTACTCGAATTGCATGGTTTTATTGTTTTTACATTCATCATCTGGTGCAAAAAAAAAAAAAAAAAGGGGCATGGCAGAGTCTTAACTTTGATAAAGAATATCTCTTTGGTTTTGAGACTTTAGTCTTTGCAACTTTAGGGGTCTTATCTATTCACGAACAGCTTGTAACACTCCAAAGAGAAAGGAAAACTTGAAATCGCATCATATGACCCCTTTAAGTTGCGATCAAGTTTACCATTGATAACCAAATTTAGCAGTCAAAGTCCAGTCATTTCAATAGGAATCAATGGAATCTGAAAATCTGTTTAAGGGTCTAAAGTTCTGTTCTGTTAAGAGTTCCCACAAGTTTTTCACTCAGATTCACTTGCGTTGACCAACAGACAGCTGCTTGATCTGAAAATAACATCTATGTGAGCTGTACTTTGTGTATGGACAATTTTTTTTGAAGAACGAAATTTAGCTGAAAATTCACGAATGTCACCTTGCCTTTATAGTTACAGAGATCTAGCCAACATATATGTGTGACAACTTTCCCCGGTCTCCCCTTTATTCAGTATCAGTAGATGCTAGTTAAAGGGGTCATATGATGCTGCTAAAAAGAACATTATTTTGTGTATTTGGTGTAATGAAATGTGTT